GCTGCTCTAGAGCTCAGGTATGGAACTCAAAATTAGTCAGAAGTCTACAGGGCTAGGTTTAGGACGAAAGTCCGTGCTAAAGGGGAGAGCCTGCAATAGCTGGCGCAGGACTGGGAAAGTATGGCACACAAGGCCTACCCAACTGCACCACCCGATCTCCTCAAGTTGTTGCTGAGGGATCAGTTTGTAGACGCATTGGACAGTCCACAACTGAAAATACAAGTGAAGCAAGCATACCCCTCTACTATGCAGGATGCAATGGCCAGAGCTTTTGAATTCGAATCATACGTTAAGTCCAGCACAGAGGTACCAAGGTTGGTACAGTCATCAGGATTCAAGGCCAGAAAAGGTCAACTGTCAGAGAGGTTTGAGGGACTTTGCTGGCACTGTAACAAACCTGGACACAAGAAAGCTCAATGCTGGAAACTTCAACACAGGGAAGATGCCATGGCAGAAAAGGCTGCTACCCAGAAAGGTTGTTGGAACTGTGGAGAGCAAGGACATATGAGGAGCCAGTGTAAGAAGAGTACTACCAATAAGTTAGCCTCAGGGAGACCAGTAGTGGTTGGTGCTGAGGGACGCCCACCAACTCCAATTGTGAAAGTCCCAACAGCTTAGTGTAAAATGGCAAACTTTCGCATATATTCTGCATCTCAGCAAACCCTTGTGTGTATCAAAGTGCTGGATCAGAAAGGAGTACCAGAAGCTGTTTAGAAGCTCTGTGGTGTGACAGGACATTATGCAAGGTTGTGGGGACCAGTGTGGATAACTATCGAGCTCATGGGCATGAAGAACAGACAGAAAGTATACTTGGCTGACATTGAAGACCAATACATATTAGGATTGGACTACTTACTACCGAGGAAGTGTGTAATTAATTTTGATAAAATGACATTTGGGAACAACAAAGGCCAAGTTCCGGTAACTGTTAAAAGAGAGGTTGAACTAATTAGGTGTCATCAAGCTGAAGTCAAAGCGACTGAAGCAGTTGATGATGGTGACATGGAGCCAGGTATAGATATTGAATCAGAGCATGAAGCCACTGGATACACTCCAGCAAAGTTCATGTTTGGTCGGGAACTTCGGTTGCCAGTGGATCTGTTAACAGGACGCCCACCTTATGAAGAGTTGCCTGAAAATGTGTCAGAGTTTGTGAAAGTGTTATCGGAAAGGATGGATGATATTCACCATCAAGTGCGTTCAAACTTGAAAACGTCTGCTGATTTGATGAAGTTAGCTTATGATAAGAGATCTACTGAAGTCAGCTTTGTACCAGGAGACAAGGTGTGGTTGTATAATCCCAGGAGGACCAAAGGAAAGTCTCCCAAGTTGTCTTCTCCATGGGAAGGCCCATATGACATAGTGGATCGTCTCTCAGACGTGACTTTCCGGATAAAATGTGGTCGGCGAGGTAAGCCAAAAGTGTTGCATGCCAACAGGCTTTGGCGTTATCACAGTCCAAGACATTTCAGTTGGGACGAAGTGAATAAAGGAACAAATGACGCTGCTGAAGAAGTGTCACCTGAAAAAGCCACTGTCGAAGAAGAAACTCTACTCAGTTTTGAGAAGGGAAATGGTGAAGCTCTTGATGAAGTTACTACCACTGATGTGACTGTTACCGACGATAGGACATTTCCTGATGAAGCAGATGAACCTCACGTGAAGCAGAAGCCAACAAGACGGAAGAAGATACGTCCCGTAAAATTAAGAGACTTTGTTGAATTGTAATTTTGTGTTTGTAAATTCTGTACATTTAATTAAGTTATTGTTAAATGTGTATTGTTTAATCTAAGTGGCTATTGTTCGGGACGAACAATACTAAGCAAGGGGCAGTGTTACGACAGCGGGGGTCACGTGACGCTAGTAACACGTCATATTCTCGAACGTTCACGTCCCTTCCTGAAGTCTCGAGAGGTTACTAGATATGCGGTATTCTAGTATATATATAATACCGCTAAGAAATGACGGCAACAATGTAATGTAATGCGTAATTGAACTGTAGGCAGAGATAGATATGGACAGTTGAGTCGAGCACGTGAGACGTTCATTGTGAATTATAGCATTTGTTATAGCGCGACTGTGGAAATTAAGTGTATTGTAAAGTTGTATTCAGAAAGAATAAACCAGTTTTATTTAAGAAAGGACTTGTATCGCTAAATTTTCTTCGGAAAGAATTTTTACGGAAAATTAACTAACGAGCAGAGACGTAACATTTACAAAAATATTTCTCTCCTATAATGTTTTAATTTTTTTATGACGAAAATTACACGCTTGCATGACCTTTTTCATAATTTTTATACGGTGTTGAAGCTCAGAATAATATATTATATTGTCTGTTAAGTTAGTCATTTTTAAACTTTTTGTTTTATTTATTTGTTTTCAATTTCTGAAAAAGGTCACAATCAACGTTGTTAACTTTCTTCGTCTTACTGTTGTTATAAATTAAAATAAAGTTCAAATTGCACGAGCAAAAGGACTTATCCATAACCCTTATAGCACAACCACCGCCCCAAAGTGCGGGGCGTGTTTCTGCGGCAGTAGAACGTAAGTTTTGGATATGAATTCTCAGACTCACTATTCCGGCACGAAGCCCCCCAGTGGCACAGCGGTATGTCTGCGGATTTACAACGCTAGATTCCTGGTTTCGATACCCGTGGTGGGCAGAGCACAGATAGCCCATTGTGTAGCTTTGTGCTTAATTACAAACAAACAAACCAAATCGGGCACGAAACCATTAGACCATGTCCAGTCCAAATTTTTTTTATATAGATTTTATTTTACTGTAACATGAAAGAATAAATAGTGAAAATATATATTTTTTATTTTTCAAATTCTGGAAAAAATAAATTATCACATATCGCGCAGTTTGTAACATTTTACTAATGATTATAAGCTCTACTATCTTATTTTTTATTGGCATATCACACTGATATTCTATGTTGCTTTGCGTAACTTTTGCAATTTATGTTACTAGTTTTTACTTATGCTTGTACACTTTTATTTGAATTATTGTTTCACTCTTTCTATATGTACTAGTTTTATGCTTAACATGTCTGAGAGTAATTCTAAGAATGAAGATTTGACAATTCAATTTTTATATTTTTATTGTATAGCGCTGCCCAAAATGCACAGTGTTAACAGACGGTACTACTTCTTTGCCGAAATTTACAATAGGCGAGCTTTGGTTGAGATTCGAGAAGAGGTCGCCAACCGCAGTAGGTTGATGTGACGTCAGGCACACTATTTGCTTGAAAAAAAAAAAGTCTGAAAATGGCGGCTCTGTACGGTAATATCAGTAAAAATGAGGGGCAGACTTGGAGTTCTTGGGCTGAAAATATCGGATATCAGAGCCCGGAAAGTGAGTATGAGAAGCATGTGTTCTTTGGAGTTAGCGTAACTAATATACAACATGATAAACTTTTCTAAACTTGACAACGTAATTGAAATGTCTTTGCTGAATAATAAGCTAAAGTTGGATTTTTGACACCACACCAGCTGAGCACGATTGAATCGCCTCTCGAGTACGATTCTAATTTGTAAATATATGAAAAATCCTGTCATGCTAAGATTTGCAATTATTTAGAAATAATTCTCCAAAAAATATTCATGTTGAATATAGAAATATGTTAGTCTTGTTATAGGTATTACGAAATGTATACCATCTCAAGAACGAGACAAAATTTACCCGGAAAAATGACAGTAGTCAGTAATGTTACAAGTAGTACAAAACTACAAGTTACAACTTCAAACAGTGTTATTAGCCTTAAGTTGAGGGATTATTGTTGCTTATTCCTGTTGAATGTTTAACTTTATTCTGAACTACTTCTTATTAATTGACAAAATTCATAATATTAATTTAAATTCCAATTTAATTTTGCAGTGTATTTGATGTTGTTATTTTTCATGCATTGTTTTTTATAAGTTGTAGAAGTCTGCAGATTTTTGATAAATCAGTTTCAGTATAGAATATACAATTTGTACTATAACTACAAATTTTGCAAATAGTGTCAACAAAAAAAAATTAACAAGTTTTAATTTTATAAATTAAAATATATTTGTAAAATTTAAGTAAAAAAGGTAATTGCATTAATCTTTTTCAAATAATTTATTCTGTTATTTTTGAGAAGTAGCTGTCGTGGAACTTTAGGGAAGTCTTCTGTACACTCTATGTGTTATTGTTATTGAATTCTGGTACATAATATGTGTATCCATTGGAAGGTAGGACTACCTAACAGTAGGGAGTCCCAGAGAGCTATAGTTTCCAGCTATGGAGGTATGTGAATGTGAAATCACCGTTGCAAATATATAAATCTCCCGTAAACAAAATACTAATTTGTGTACACCAAACAACAAATGAAAAATGTGTACAATATTAATACATACTGAGTTTGCATGATATATTTCAAGGCAACCATATTCCCACTAGTTATAAATTAGCTTCAAAAAAATCAAGATAATTGCTAAACCTTATTTCCACCATTTGGCAGCTACCAGCAAGTGAATGTTAAAACCAAAAACAGGGTGTTGGTTCAAATTGGCTGAACCAATAAGGATTAGTGATAACCTCAAACAATAGCTCTCTTCATGCTCTACTTTTGGCAGTTTCGTTCTCTATTTGAAAATGCACAAACAAAACTTTAAAACCATTTATAATTCTTTTTAGCAATTGAATTTATAGAAACAAAGCCATACAATAAACTTTGTGGTTTGTATTAGATAATGCATTAATCGATGCATAGATATGTCAGTGCTACTGTAGTGTGCAGTCTACACAGATACTATCATCATCACCATTTTAATGATTCACTAAAACACAATTTCTTGCTAAATAATTTATATCTATCCATGTTTTTGTTCAGTAAATAATAGTAATTTAATAAGTTGTATGTTCCAAAAGAGTACTATAAGTTTAGGTTATGATTATGATAGTTATGATTGTTGGAATTTATTTCATTCCAATTATATTTGCCCCCAGAATGTTATATAATGGTATTTTGTAATTTGTTAATTTAAAAGCGTTATTTATAATAAATGGTGCCGATTGCAAATAAACAAAAGTTAAAACAGTGATGATGACAATATCTGTGTAGACCATGTGCTATAGCAGCACTGATATGTCTGCCAAAATTGAACTAACAGCATGTCAAAAAATGATGAATGGGGATTGTAAACAGACTATATGTTGTCTTGGCAACAACTTACTTTATGTGATATGATCGGGGGTAAATGGACAATATGTTGTATTGTAAATCTACTAATTTGTGACTGTGGAATCCAATGGTATGTGAATTTTTTGTTATTTTCAGTATTTAAAAATTGCCAACACCTCCTACTAACAGCATTTGTGAGGTATAGATGTACAAGTTTTCAAAACATCTTTGTAGAAAATATCTGCCAGTAAACGTGCAACTGTTTACAAATCAGTTTTTATCTAGGTATAGATGGTCATGGACGAAAAATGATATTTTAAGAAATAGTTTAATGCATAATACTGCTTTTTTGAAATCATTCAATCAAGTAAAACTGTAGTAGATAATTTTTTATATATGATTCTAGTTTTGAATTTCAAAATGGGAAAAATCTTTCCAGATTAAACTTAATCTACCATTACTTCACACATGTATAGACCATTAAACTATTTAAATGAAGTATATTTTTTCTTTTCTTCAGTAGTGTAATGTTATCAGCAAATTCAACTACTTAATAATCCTTGTTGATGTCAAGCTTTGTTTTTTTGTGCTAAGGTAATTTTACAGTCTCTAACTTTATATATTGGCTCTTTTAACCTGTTGTTTGTTACTTCTATAAATATCATTTTCACTCTCTATCAAAAAGTTTAATTTTTTTTAACCAGACACTTTTCAACATGTGATATACTTTTTTCTAGCTTGATTTGTGGAACTAGTAAAAATTTTCAAAGCATAATACAAATTTACACAGTTCACTCTATCTACTAAGTTTGATCCCTGTTTTATCACATATTCTTCACTTCTAAAATTGAGATATTTATAGTTGCTAATACTCATGTACAGGTTACACCAAAATTTTAAAATTAGTAATGCCATTGCATAACAGATTTTCAGAGTGTTCTTCTCTAATAAAAGAACTAAAATTCTAAAATGACATGGTTCTATTCCTGTTAGGTTCTTTATTATGTTGAATAAGAAAACAACATGCAGAAACTCCTCATCCTATTGCTGATACAAGAGTTTTCATAAACATAGTAATAATTAATTTGGTATTCTTTAGACAATTTTATTTAAAATTTGAGATGGATGTAATGAGCATCCTGGCTAGAAACTCAAACTAAGGATGACACTAACATAAACTTTCAAAAATATGCAACAACTGGACTTAATGCACCATAATTTGTTAAACCAGAAATGAAAAGTCTTTTTATGGCAGTGTTGAAAAAAACAGTCATTTATCTCCAGATTTAAAAAAGAAATAACTGAATAAAATATGACAGGTTATTATAAAAGCCAAAATATCTAACTTTCAACAACAGAGCATTCTTATTACAATAAACTGTTGGTTTTTAATTTGTAATTCTGCATATAAATCCCCCAGATATTCCACAAATAATATTTTTGAAGTTATCACTCATTTTAAAATTTGTAAGCTAAGCCATGCCATCTAAAATAAATAGAAATTAGTAAAACATAATTAAACTAATAAATAACTTTTGAAGTTTTCTCTTTATTTTTATAAAAATTAAAATTGCCATGTCACCATAATATACATTGTATGTTGATTATAAATTTGGAAGCTACATGTTTGTTAATGATAGTTTATTAATGTTATAAATATCAATAATAATGATTTAAGTGATTTATAATGTGATATTTTGTATTAATATTAACTTCTGATCATAGCAAGCTATCTGCATAAATTAGAACTACAAATATAACCAGTAAAGAGTATAGTTAATCAAATATATAGTTCATACTATCTTTCTTACTTTCATTAGAATGCATTGTTTCATCAATTGGGTACACTTGTTATTAACATTGTAAACCCAATAGTATTTCATGAGGTTCAGCCAGCCTTGGAGGCTTGCATTAGTCCAAGTCTATAGACTAAGCTATGTTAAACTACTACTTTAATCATACTCAATTCATGATAGTATAAGATTGTAAATTAACGAGAAAACATCAAATGGTAGAATGGTCAATACTCAGTTTGGAATATTTTTTCATGGACCATGGTATACTAGTTAAAATTGTTATTCATTATCACATCTGTGATTTCAAAATATAAGAAAATGTACTTTATTAATTACAAATAATGTATATGTGAAAACAGCATAAACTTTACTGGTTATCTAATGTTATATGTTTGAAATGTTCTGAATGTATCGGGTATTAGTATATGATATCTTATTTCTAGGTGTAGATGAAAATGATGAAGATGATGAGGCTAATGATCTTAAAAAGAAAGAAGGAGATGCATTGCAACTCAAGAAAGAAGGTAACTATTTTATTGACTCCTTCACTATTTGATGGTATTTGTCATAGAAAAAATTAAACGGTGCAGAATACACTATCCTCACATTTACATGCATTCACAGTTTCATTATGTAGTTAATGTTTTAACTTAAGTAAGTAATTAAAAAACAAAATATAGCATTTTATCCACTTCCAGTGCTTAAAATATTACCAACTGTTTTTTAGTAGCTAAACTGGTAATTCAAGTTTTTCTGCCTTGTTTCACGTATATTGACTGTTTTCATTGACATAACATAAAATTTAAGGAAAATAAGGGATTTGGTCCTTTTAGGCTGTCCCATCCACTAAAATAAATTTAAAAAAACCCTCAGAGAATCCTTATCATATATCTATAAAGAGGAAACAACCAGTCAAAGAAAAATCTATAGAGAGTTCCTTAAATTTCCTGCATCCACCACATTGAAAGCAATCTATTCCAAAGGCCAGCCATCCTGTTAAAAAATAAAACTGTTTTAGTTGACAATGACTCCTCTCTGCCAAAATTTATACTTGTGGCCCATAGTTCTTCCATTCTCACCATTAAGTATGATAAAAGATAATGCATCAATATTATCAATTTCCTGAAAAATCTTAAATACCTCAATGAGATCCCTTCTAACTCTATTTTTTTTCTTTCAAGAGTAAACAATTCCAGAGATATTAATCTGTCCTTATATGACAACCTATTATCCCAGGTATCCTAGTAGGCCTCCTCTGAACTCTTTCTGACAATTCAATATCCTTTCTAAGGTAAAGAACCCAAACTCAGCACAGTGGCCTAACTAGTGATGTTTGCAGTGAAGTTAAAACTTCATTAGATTTGTATTCAATATTGCTGTAGATACAACTTACCTCATCACAAGCTACACCACAATGCTTTGATAGCTTAAGAGAATGATCAACCAGAACAGTACTGTAGGATTTTAGAATCATCCTAGTTAGTAGCAGAAGGGGACAATTATCAGAATTTGCTAATTGTTTATTAGTTAGATCATGAAGTGAGTACATTCAACTAATCAATTATTCTCACATAAGACTAATCTTTGTATATTCAACTAATTTTGTATTATTAAAGGACTTTTCAAACTAATGTTCTTTTAAAGGATGCACAGCATCAGGTACAACAACTTAGGATTAAGGTACTTTTTTAATCCTAAACTGTCATATATAAAAATATATATCATATACACATCTTTGTATGAAACCTGTAACAAGATGAAAATACAGTTAATACTGTTCCATGAGTTTCTCCTTAAAATTTTCACAATACTACTAAAATTAATGAATTTTTGTTGATGAAAATAAATATTACTTTATGGTATTCATTATAAAACAGAAAAATATTCAACATAGTGGTGACTAGTGAAATTACTAGGTAGTCAAGAAATTAATGTTGCTTATTTTAGATGAAAAATCCCAATTAACTTGTATATCAAAACAAAACATTTATTAAATAAAATAGTCTCCATTTGTATCGATGGTGCTTTTCCATCTTACAATCAGGTTGTTAATGCCCTGATTAAAGAAATCACTTGGCTTTGAAGCAAAAACGTGTTGATGTCCTCTTTAACACTTTCCACATTTGCATACATTTCCCATTAAGATGGTGGGTGGGGGAGAACTTCCCTAACCCAACTCTATAATCTTGTGTTGCGTCAACGTGCCACATGTGGATGTGCATTGTCGTGGAGAAGAACACCTTTCCGATTAATGAGTGGAGGGCTTGATTTAAACGTTTCAGTTGTTGACTACAGATCCCTGCATTGCCAATTCGCTGTGGATTGAGGAGTTTGAAATGAATTACTCCTTTGATGTCCCACCAAATGCAGAGCATCACTTTCTGCAGTTGGAGTCCGGGTTTTGGGGTCAGAAGTGGTTTTTGTGTAGGATTGAGCCATTGTTTTTGGCGTTTAATATTCGCATAGAGAATCCATTTTTCCTCACTGGTGACAATTGTGTCCAAAAATGGTTCACACGCATTATGCGCCAGAAGAGACGAAGTAATTTTCACACATTGGAAATGATGAACATCAGAGAGTTCATGAGGCACCCAAACACCTTCTTTATGGAGTTTTCATATATTCCTTAGATGTTTACATATTGTCTCATGAGAGTCATGCAATTTCAGGGCCATTTCCCAAGTGTATTGCCTTGGGTTAGACTCAACAAGCATCTTCACAGCATCAATATAAATTCCAACATGTTGGCCCCTGCCATCATAGGTTTTAAAGCTAAAGTCACCTGAACAAAAGTTGCTAAACCATTCTTGATAAAACATTTCCATAAACATCTGTGATATTTTTTGTGGCTACAGAGGCGTTGTTTCCCTTTCTTGTATTCAAACAGCATTACATGCTGATTGTGTGTCTCGTCATGTGGCATCACTATAATGAATTATAATATACTAAAATTTACACATTATATAGGCTGCACTAACGTGACGTTTAGGTGGTTTGTTTAACTATTATATGTGATGTAAATGTTTGGGGTAGGGGTTTAATGAAACTGTTTCAAAATGAAATATTAATTTCTTAACAACCTAATACTATTAAGTACAACTTAAGTTACATATGCTTAGTTCTGGGGATTGAGTTTACATTTTTTTATATGAAAACAATTACATCTAGACAATCAACCAAATGGATACTTTAGGTGAATTTTTACTGTACAAAGGAACAACAGACTTAACAGGTAGAGGTAAATAAGATTATCATGGGTATTGCTATTTTGTACACAACAATATTGCAGCAAAAACTGTATTATTTTGAATCAGCAAAATGCCAGTTCATCTCATCTCTTATCCTTTTTACATGCTTATTTGTCATTGTATTTTGTGAAAGCTGTATTGCAATCACAGCCTCTTTATACATAATCAAACTTTAGCTTTCCATTTTTAGTGCTTTCTGTCTAGCTAAACCTAGTCATAATTAAACAGAAGCCCTGTTTGTGTAAATAGGTTAACAAGTTAATGGTGTTGCCTGTTATCAGACTTATTGGTCCATGTCAGGTACTTTTTGTGCAAATTATTCAGCAATCAACAATTTCTTTGAGTGACTGTATCAACCACTGCTGTATCTGTTGTACCCCAGCCAGCCTGATGAGCACTGGTATTGGCCAAAAGACCTCATTGTCACTGTATATGGCAGATATGGTTTGATTGACATATTGTTATACATACCGTATTTTTTGGTGTATAAGACGCATTTTTTTACCCCAAAATTTGATGTCAAAATCTGCTTGTGTCCTATACACTGAAGGTATGAATAATATATATGTATATATATGATATACACAAGCCATGTGTAAATATATTTAAATAGGCATGCATAGTTTAGTTCAATTGAATGTATTATTTATAACAGTTGTATTTTTTTCTTTTAAAAACATAACTATTTATAATGCTCCCTAAATAATAACAAAATAAAGTACAGTGAAAGCAATGAAGATTTTGTAGGCTTTGAACCAAACTAAATAACAGTAAACCTTTTTTTTGATTTACGGTATTTTCTTATTTTGATGTTTTGAGCTCTTTTGTGTTTAGAACAATATATACTAATTTTTAAAGTATCAAATTGAATTTTTGTTCAATAAAAATCATTCAAATGCGAATGTAGCTTTTTTCCCCCAAAAACTTTGTCTTCAAAATAAGGGTGCATCTTATATTCCAAAAAATATGGTACTTCTTTGTTTTCACTCATAAAGTCTTAGAATTACAATTGTACTCTTCCCTCTTTGATACTGTGGTTGCTTGACCTGCTCCAGGAAGATGGAGACTAGCTTGTTGGTTTGATATTTCTTCTGAATGATGAGTAAAGTTAATTCAAGTAAAAATAATTAATAATGATAAATAACACCAGGCAACAACAACAAATTTTTTCTGTTACTTGAAAAAATGCAAGTGTTTCTGAGTAATTTAATGATGCTGATTCTAAAAATCATGCTGAAAATTACTGATCACCTGTTGTTTTTGAGCTATGATAGATTTATTCAAAGTATTCTTATATATCATGAAAATATTTTTTTCTTTAATAACTTTATTTATTCATGGCTCCTGAGTTTTCAGGCTGGTTTCTAGGTCTGAAAATATATGTTGAGGCCTGTTCTAGACAGTTTCTGTTATATTGGGAAAGCAATAAAGTAGTAAGACTCTACCTCTTATTTAATTTAATCCACTGTATATGTAGGATCAAGTGTAACGGTTGTTTCACATTTTGAGGTTAAGCCAGTGCCATTATACAAAAATATTTAATGTGTAACATCAAAATATAGTGTAGTGAGAATAAATTTAAATATTTTCTTACTAACATACAGTTATGGGATTTCTACTATCATTTCAATTACACCAAAGTTTCAATCTTTTAACTTTAGTTAAAAACTAATATCCAAGTTATCTTATCAAATTATACTGTAACATAATTTATCATGTATTAAATGAAAAGATTTTATAATTTAATAAAATATGCTTGTGCCTATAATCATAGAATATTGGTGTTTGTGTGTATCTACTAAACAATTAAACTGTTGATTTTGATTATAAAATGTTTCTTCAATATGTTTATTTAAATTTTCGAATGTATGGCTTTTTTAATTATAATGAATTAATATTTTTTGTATTTATCTTATAGACATGAGACTTTTTGGTTTCTGCCCAGCATGGGATGATTTCTTTTTGGTTGTATGTGAATTGTGTGGACTGATAGTTAAACCCCAAGCACTAAAAAGTCATTTGGGTAAGTTTTTTTGTTATTGTTGAAAATACACTTCATAAAAGTTCACTAACTGTATGTAAAAACATATGAATATGTGCTACTGTTCAAAAGTTTGTAAGTATACACATTTTTTGCAGATAAAATGAAAATAAATGCACTTGTAATAAAATTTTTTGGTTATAATAGTAATAGATATAATTGGCAAATTTTTCTTGTATTTTAGTTGGAATTAAACAGATCGTTAATTGGAATAATCTATAATAAAACAAAATAACTTTACTAAAATACCACTCACTCACTCAAATGATTGAAAATTTGTAGGAAGTGTAGGAGGGATTAATTCAAATTTTAAAAGCTAAACTTGTCTGTTGTTTATAATCTAAGTTTAAATGGATATTTGAGATCCATGGCATGAGATGATTCAGAATATTAGGACTCTAAGATGACAGCAAACCTATTATACATGATAATGTTTCAAAAAGCTTGATTTTCCTTTGGTTCATTTATTTCTTATACCACTACTATTGTATAGTCAGCTCATATAATTTATATTCTTTAGGAATGAGTTATTTTCCAAAGGCATAAAATTCAGAAAATAGGATAATGTATTCAAATAATTTTACTGATTCACATAAAAACTGACAGTCAAATTCTTGGTGCATCTGATTATGTTTTATAAAAACATATTTTTATAAAAGATGGATAATCTGCATCTCAATGCACTTTTTAGTGACAGAGCTGATAGGAAGTAGACACCACTTATATTTAAAGTTCATGCTCTTAACGTGTGCAGTACCATAAAGCATTTTGGACTTTTTTATTTACACTTTTGTTTATAGTTTATAACATATTCACAAAAATGTACTGTTTCATACTAAATTTTGCAATCAGAATTCTCATTGTCTCTTGTGTTGTATAGAAATACACAATTGTTCCAAAGAACTTCTCTCTCATTTTAGGTTGTGTACTGTATAGCAATGTAACTGATGAGTAGTAGAAAACATCTGTACTTCAAGGTAATACCTTGCACATGTGCAGTATTGTAAGGTAATGCTTCCTAGTTAAGTTTTGCAAGCCACAGATATGAATTGTACAGTTAAAGGCTTTCTGAGCCAAATTTATGAAAATGTTGAAGCGACATGACTGAAACGTTTTTTTAAATACATTATACATTATGGGATGTATATCAATTTAATGTTTGGTTGCATATTTTACATTATAACAGTTATATCATCTTTTGGCAATAGTGAGTGAAAGCTGCATTTAGTCAGCATGAGAAAGATATACATATAGTCAGTGCTGAAAGGGGTCTAAAAAGCTCAAAGTAACAGAGTGTGTTATAATTAATTCCTTCAAATTATGGTAAATAATAATTCATGTATAAGTGTATTTATAGTTATCTACATCTTTCAGCACAAGTGACATGTTTCCAGAACATAAGTCATACTTTTCAGCAGAAAAACAATCACAGTAAGTCTCCCTGAGACTTGTATTTAAGTTTAATAAATAATTATTACAAAGTTCAAGTCAGGTTGATAAATCTGATGCTTAGTTAGTATTTGTAGTGATTATTATTTGCAAAACCATAATTGGAAATATTGACAATGGGGGGAAAAAAACAATAATAATTATTGTTTAAACAACTGAAGAAAGAAGCATATAGCAATGCATTTAAGAAAGCATAAAAATTATTTCTGTAATAAAAAAGTTTCACTGTATATCTATTCTGAATGGTGGAACAATCATGGCACCATCAGTCTGTTTTTTTCATATTTTGGTCTATGTTATATAGAAATTTTGTCTGTTATCAGCAAGAAAAGTTGTAGCTGTTATTGCTAGCATTCATTTATATATTTGATAACATCCAATTTCAAAACAGTACATTGTTCTGAATTTTTTGTATTTTCCAATAAACATAATAAAACACATTTTACATAGTCACACTAAGTCAAACATTATGCTACTTTTAGTAGTCAGTCACAAATAATGCAAGTTTAGGTTAAGGTTGTATTCTGTATACTGTGCTGTACAGTTGAATTATGTATTATTAGGTGAATATCATTTTAAAGTTGTATGGTATTCATATTTTCTGCTATGTTAGCTGATATACTTCTCCACCTGAAAATGAAACCTATGGTGACTTGGGGTCCAGCGAGAAAATGTCATTTCGAACACTAATCATTTAATGTAAAATCGGGTTTTTATTAAGAAATATATCCAGTAATGCAATGTCATATTGTAAATATATAAAAAATATGTATATGTATAAATATATCTAAAAAAATTAAATATTTGTTACGGAAATCAAAATTAAGTAGATTTAAACATTTATTCTAAGAATTCGAATTTAAAGTGCACAGCTTTCTTGAATTCTTAATAACACAAAGAGAGAAGTCACTATATTAAATAATTATGACAACATTTTAAACTGATATTAATAAATTTGTACTAATGAATACTTGCAGTGTAAAGCAGAGATATTTTTCTTTCGTTTAATATATCAATCTTTTCTTTCTTGCAGTAACAAAATAACGTTTTTCAAGGTCATGTATAGCAGGTAGATCAGTTGGTAAAATGGATCTATGACAGACAAACTGCTGGAAGGTTTCTTTGTTGGAGATGAGGTTTCAGTACACTTTTGTGGATCTTTTTTTAAGTCTGAAAATTATCCACAAAAACAAAAAAAGATATATCAAAAGGTCATCTCCATTAAAGAATCCTTCTAACATGTTATCTGTTTTATCAACAAAAAAGTTATTATATTTAGGAATGTGCTGTTTTAAGTTTCTGTAAAAAATAAATTCATGGGGAAAGCTTTATTAACAGTTTTATTAACTTAACACACTAACCATTAGTTGTGGTTATTGATCTAAGGAACATTCTAATAATAAAACAAATTCTAAAAGTCAATTTGAGTAATTATTATAACTTCATTATTGCAACTTAGCATGTGTGATGTTATCATGGTCATGCATGACATTAATTTGGGAAACATTTATGATCTTTTTTTCTTCCCCACCTGTAATTGAATCCCTAATTTAATATGTATTTGTGTCTGTTGTTTAATATTAAAATGTATTTGTCACCACATTGTTTTTGATTTTTTGGATACCTTTTCTTCCAGTTTTGGTATCTTGATCTGTCATTTTAGTGCCATTTTTTAACCAGTTAATGATAAGTACAGCCAATGAATTAATCTTTTTTCTTCTTTGGAATAGTATAAGGCATGCTGTATGACCTCTCAAATTTTTGAAAGCTAAATCTGATTTTCAATTTGAATTTTTTAAATTATTCTTGAAAAAACCTATATCTATTGAACCCAAGAATTTTGTGTTTTTACCTAAAGTTTCTTTATTATATTTACAGCTGATAGAATTAGAGATAGGGGGGAAACAACACATTATACATTCTCCCTATTAATTATTATTAGCTCCATTGAATAATGTCTTTATATAATATGGTTTTCTGCTAGTTTTCATTTGAAGGTTTAATTTATTGAATTTTCAAGATGAGGCACCCGTCCTACGTCAGGGGCATAAGGATAGAATGTAGGGCTTGAACTAATAAGTCAAGAATTTTTATTTGTATACATAATTTACTTCACACGTAATTTACTTTACAACCAATTGATTTTACATCCACTTTATTCTACATTACAGAATTGGTGTTACAGTTACTTTACTACTTTTACTTATCCTTTTCTACAGCCTCAGTGTTTGTTGGTAATATGAGTGCTTCTTTATAGACTACTTTGTAAGTTCTTCCTTCTTCCTGGCCAAAATAGAGAAACTTTTTTTTTGGTGATCCTACTCTTGAATACTCAACATGGAAATGACCATGTGAAAAGCAAACAGTTTTCAGATGTAGTCCTACCACTTTAAGGGTCTGACCTTGTACTTTGGTTGTCATTTTTCCTGGCAAAAATGTGAATGTTTGACATTTTTAATGAAAGAACTCAAAAATTTCCATTTTAAGAAGAAATATTAGTCCAAGACTGTGGAGTCATTAGCTAAACAAACATATTTTTGTTGTGGTAGGTGGGGCTGGATAATAACCAACTTATGACATGCCCTTTGGTCCAATGTATCATCCTACCAAGTTTGTTTGAGACTTATCCAAAGACCACAAAGTAGTTTGCCAACAAACAAACATATTTTTTACTTTCATAAGTATTCAACTGTTGCAGAAAAAAAATTCAGATTCTTTTGTTTATTGTATCAGTAGTTGGACTGAACTATATATACCTTATCATCTTGACAATATGAAACATTCATTAAGCTTATTTTTGCTCAATTTTATTATATATATATATAAAACTATATATATTTACATAAAATCCAGCACTTTGAATTTTGTTAACGGAATCCAAACCAGGCTTGAGGAGCACATTGTACAGCTTGCACCAAAGAGTTTAGTGGTCAGCCCAGCTCTCAAGGATGGGTGGAATTTGGCATGTGCTGATCAGGGTGCAAGGGCAAGAGGTTGAGTTCTTGGTTGACACAGGAGCAGTGAAAACCCTATCAGACCTGGTGATCATTCAAGCCCTAGTAGTGAGACTACTGCTATGACTAGTGAATACTGACTTCTTTCTGGCAAATGGCAATAGACTAGACATTAGAGGAGAGATAGATCTCCAGCTTAGTCTAGGAAGAGTCATCTGAAGAATGAAAGTGGTTATTTCTAATCTTGAGACTGGTAATCAGCATACTCAGGATGGATGTAGTTCAGAAGTTGCCAGTGAGTTTTGCATGTGCAATGGGTGAGCTGGTGTTACACAGGAAATTATACATTGATGCCCAAATTGAGTGGAACACTGGATTGCTCAACTATATGTAACAAAGGGAGTGATAGTACCCACATGTTAACAAGTGACATTCTATGCTTTGATCAAGACAAGGTCAAATGTGTCAGTGCCGTGTAATGTGTTTATAGAAGTCATATATGATAGAATCTGTTTCTTGTCTAAAAAGCAGACATCATTAACTCAGGCTATGAACTGCCTGACAAGGGATGAAGTTCAAGTGTTGCTTTGGAGTTATGAATGATTGAGTATCCAGATAGATGCTGTAATGGTCATGGGTATGAGAAATGAATTGGAAGTAACTAATGGTAACAGTAGTGTCACATTGGGACTGAAAGCAGATATGAGACTATAAACACACATGAGCGTGTTGATTGATGATTATGCTGACAATCTGAACCCAATAGAGCAATTTGTTGGATGACTGTGTTGACATATTTGTGAGTCCAGCAGAGTAATTGATTCAAATAACATTGTTTCAACACCATATAGACACAGGCAATGTATGCCTGATAAAGAAACCACTGCTTCAACTTTCTTGGAACACCAGGGAGATTGTAAGTGCCAAAATACAGCAAATGCTACAAGACAGAGTCATACATCTTTTTGAAAGTGCTTGTTTATCTCTTAATAGTGAGAAGGAAGGCAATCCAAGACTATGAGCAGACTTCTGATGGGTTAACATGGTAATTTGATTGATGCCTTTCATTTATCATGGAAAGATGAATGTCTGGATGTGTTAGAAGGCTGGTGTAGGTTTAAAGCCTTGTATCTGTTTTCCTGATACTGGCAAGTCAAGCTGGATGACTAAAGTAGGGCTAAGACTGCTTTTAGCATAGAAGTGCTCCATATGAATTCTGCATCTTGCTATTTTGTCTGTGTAATTAACCAGCTGCTTTTGAGCAGCTTATGGAACTTACACTCCAGGGGTCTACAAACATGCCTTGTCTACATTGATGACGTTTTAGTGTTTGGCCACACTTTTTAGTCAGTGTCTGAGAACCTAAAGATGGTATTCTAGTGCAGACAAAAGTCAGACTTGAAACTGAAACCAGAGAAGTATTCATTCTTAAAAATGTAAGTGTTTTGGTCATTCTGTTGGGGAAGATGGTGTCTTGAGAGTCCTGACTAAGATAGCCGCAGTAAGAGATAGCTCTTGATCTGTGACAAAGCAAGAATTCTACAGATTACTTGGTTTTGTGCTATACTACTAGTGATAT